CTCACTTTTAACCCTTTAGCCCCGGCGACGTATATATACATCCTGGTATTTGTTCACTGTTGATGTAAACCCCCCACAAAATAGAACGCCACCCTATAATAGAAAGGCACCCGGAATAGAAGGCCACCCCGGACCGTTTGATTTTCTGGACATAATATAACGCCATACCAATTTCAAGGAAAAATGTGAAAAAATTTCCGACAAGACATAATATAACGCCACCCAAAAATGACCGATTCACTGGGACATAAAAGAAGGCCATGCCTTTTTATTCTGAGGGGGGGGGGGGTTTATACCTCACGTATTGGCTAGTTCTTGCAGGATTGTTCCCACTTAGCTTATTATCATTTTGGGATATTCCAGGATGGGAATATTCCTTCTCTTTATCACCTTCTATAGTACTATGATCTGTAAGGTTCTAAAGGTCATAGATTATCTCATTTCCCAACTGGTACATATCTTTTCTCTCTTTCTTTCTGTCATATAGATCCCTCTCCTTTCCTCTACCTTCGTATATGACGTCATGTTTTTCCTTTGCTTATTCCACAAACATTGCAATCAAAACAGTCTCTAAGAAAAAACGCGGTTTGCACCTCCCATAATGTTCGGTGTGATACACAGTATATGTATGTTGACTGCCATGTGCCTCTATGTATTGTTGATTGCTTTAAAGACTCATACAAAAATGAACTACTAATGCTTCTTTGACACAGAAATGCAATTTCTTTCAAAAAATAACTAAAAACCATATTTAAATATTTCGTATAAAAATTTGGATTTTCACAAAAAAAAATCGAGATCCAAAGGGTTAAAAGCTTATTTTTATAATACATGAACTAAAAACACTAATATCAATTATTGATGATATCAATTTCTTATGACAAAGTAAAACTTCTAAGCTATAGACGAAAATTGTGAATTTGATTTGTGCGACATCTATCATGGTATAGGTAATCTTATATATATATATTACATGCATTTTATGCTGAGTCGACACTGTAGTGTAGCGCCTTCAACTGCATGAAACTGATATTATTGAAAAAATAAAAATGCAGTTTGAAAGAGAATTTATTTTAAAGTGTTTCTATGGTATTTTTATATTCTGACAATTCATAAAAATCATATAGTGCGTTTCAACATTGATTTGATGATTAATCGATATCCCAGCTCAGGGCGAACGAAGCAAAAACGCGTTCGGAACAGGCGAACGAAAACAAAAACGCGTTCTGAACGATCCGAATGTGCTGTGTTCGAGCAGACGAACGCGTTCTGAGCTACTAGTTCCGAACACATTTTTGCTCCGTTCGTCTTGACCTGGGATGCGCGTACTGACCTATAATCGATGAACACCCTTTTTTTAATGACTCATCTCATGTATGAAAAAAAACAATCTCATATAATACAAACGTATTCGTCGACCGTCATCTATATTCAATAGTGTCTCCTCTCTACCTTAAATAATGGTCTGAAAATAGGCAGACGATAAATGATAAATTAACGTGCTTGTTCCATCAGGTTGACAAGGATAAAATAGAATTTTCCTAAATGAAAAAGCCACTCCATTTTTTTTCTCTTATATTTAGATAAGTTTTTTAATCACGTTTCTATGACATAATCAGATTGCTATTCATATAAAAAGTCACTTATTTTTGTAATACATTTAATAATAAGAATTATCTTATTGTACTTCAATAAAAATATCATATTAATGGGAATTATTTATCAATTTTAATGGAAAATTTATCCTTTAAAAACATTCTGGCAATGATTTACGAAAGTCTTTTCAACTTTTTTTTTGTTTAGAGACAATAATGAATTTTTTTATTATAATCAAAGAAATGTTTTTCATACAAATACAGTTAAAGACAAATAGTTCGTTTAGATATTCAACGATGAAAGAATATGAAATTGCCGATCATTGATACAGATGCTAAACTAAGAATAATCAATAATAATATAGTAAAATATTTGGTCTTTGATATAAAATTAACTACATCTATGTCATCCATTTGAGGATTGTCAGATCTTAAAAGTCTAATAAGCTGATTGGTACACTTTTCAATTGTAAAATAAATGATGGTGATTAATAATGTACAATAAACATATGGAACGATCGAATCAAGGAAAATTCTATTAAAAATTTTTAATAAACATTCGATAACGATCAAACTTATCCGATACCTATCTTGATGATTTAATAAACGCTGCTTATTTACTAAATCATTTGGTGTTGAATTTATTCGAGTAGGCAATAGACGCATTGTAACCATATAAAGAAAATATTGCATTGTTTTCATTAAAATATCGATAATACATAAAATGAACATCAGGAATAATCGTAAAATAAAAGTACTATTTTCATCTAAACTGTTTGTGAAGTTTTTATACCAATACTAAAAAAAAGGAAACATTCATTCGTCTAATCATCGTGTACAATTCTTCTAGGTGCCATATCAGACAATAATAGATAAAATGATCGCAATTGCAAAAAATTGCGATCATTTTATCTATCATTTTCTTCGATTTCAGAAAAGAAAAAAGCTGTTCAACATGAAAGTCACGTTGTTTTCTCGATATAAACAGAAACGATCGATTCTTTACAATAAGACCTATACCATAACTGTGATTCGTATTCGTATCCAGTTTTAATCGTAAAGATGAGTAATAATTTACTTTAAAACTTTTAACTTTGAATTTTGAATATTTGTTGTTGACAAAATATATTTACTTGATTAAAATGTTTTCAAGAAATAAACAATTAATCACTTCGAATGATTCCGATCGATTGACAAATAAATGAGAAATAAAGAAAAGGTAATGAATCTGACAACATACACGGCTAGAGGAAAAAAATGAATATACACCGTCAAAAAGTTTCTCAGTAATCATGTGACACACTAGTTTTTTCTTAGTGATCACCAACGACTATGACAAATACAAAACCAGAAAACGTTTCTATCTGAAAAAAATGTTTCCAATCTTTAAATATAAATAAATCCAATCATTCTTCTTCTTCTTCTTCTTCTTCTGGATCAACTAATAAAGAAGATAATGAAACATGATGCACCATCATTTCCATTTATTTCACCAACTGATTATAGAGAACAAGGGACAACATAAAATAATAATACAAGAATATTATCACGTTTTATAAGAGCTAAATACATATTTAATATGCTTGGAAAAAATAAAACAAAATAAAAGAGAATCTAACATGACATGCTGACTACATAAACATTTTGCAATGATTCCACTGAGATTTAATCATCCTTTTCATTGATTTTTATTTAAAATATTTATTTTATTAGAAATAAAACTTGGTAAATCATTATTTAGAATTTGAACTAAAGATTATCAAAAAGTTCATCTGATGCAATTAATAATAAATCACCTATTTATAATCTCTGTTCAATATATTCTACATCACTTGTTCTATTTAAATAAATAAAAAAAGAGAAAAATCATACTTATCATGGTAAAGTCTTGTTGAATTTGATTAAAATAATTACTGGGGTCGCAGCGAGGAGGTATCAAAAAGAAGGATTTTAAGAAGGAATTTTTAAAAGAAAAAGTAGGAAATTTGAGAAAACGAAGGAAAAGGAGGAAAAGAAGGAATTTTTTCAAATATATTGTTGTAAGATCAAAATGAAGGTAAATCAAGCAAACATGGAATAGAGCTGAATTTTAGATTTTACTTTTGCTAGAAGTAAAATGAGCCGACGTATTCATTGAAGACACGCTGAAAACTCTAAACTAATTCGGCTATGTGATGACTTATTGTAGAAAACTTCCAGATGACGGTCTTTTTGATAATATCTCGTTATGACAAGTAAAAGTTGCTGTTACTGTCTTTTTGTCCAAAAAAAAGATTTTTCTTCACTTAGTTTGGCAAAAAGTACTGATATGAGAAGATTGTTGTTTAATTTGACTTTTGTATTTTACATATCGCCTCTTCTTCGAACAAAATGAATTTTATGAAAGAGAAATCAATTTATGTAAACAGATGACATTAATTCAAAGAATAAGAGAGAGTAAACATTTAAAACAATGGCAATAGTTGACTTATGCTCCAAACAGACAGAAAAAAAATAAGGTGAATCGAAACTGAATTGACGAATTCATCGTCTAGAATAGATAATTTCAGTGAGAAATTCTCACTGAGAATTGATCAGCCATGTTCTTTATTTCAACTTTAATTTAATTCACTTTTTTTAGTCTGTTTGGGGCCTTACATGAATAATCAGACAAAAATAAAACTATATGTTGCATAACAATGTCTCATTCAAATAATAAGAACAATGCACTGTCACACGACGGTCTGTTCCGCTCATGAATGGGAAGGAGATGTCCTCGTTACAAACACGTCAAATTGAATTACACTTTTATGTGTAAATGAGCACACGTTTGTTTCAGAAAAGAATAAATATTCCATACATTTGATAAAAATACGAAAACATATCAAATGACGAATGATACTTCTTTTTCATCAAAATGGTTACAAAAAACCGATTCTACAGGCAAGCTATGCTCCATTTGGTTACGTCCAGGCAAAGAAAAAACTACATTTATGTGTACTGTATGTAACATCGAGCTGAGCTGTGCCAATGGAGGCTGGACTAACGTGAAGAATCATGCAGAACGATCGAAGCATATGCAACATCTGAAAGACGTTATGGAATCTCGTCAACTTATTTATTCTACCACATCATTACCATCTACAAGTATTAATTCTACTGAAAAACAGTCTTCACATACTAATTCATCGATATCAACAAACAAATTGTCCTTCGTCGTATTGAACAACAACACAGATCGAGCGTTGACGCACGATAAAAAGGTGACTCGCGCCGAATGTTATTGGGCAATGGCAACAGCTCATCTCGGCTTCAGTTATGCTTCATCCAAAAATATTCCTGAATTATTTACATTAATGTTTCCCGACAGTAAAATAGCTGCCGATTATGCAATGAAAGATAGAAAACTTTCGTATGTGATATCACATGGAACTGGTCATTTTTTTTATACGTGAACTTGTTAAAGATGTTAATACAGCTCCATCCTACTCGTTACTTTTCGATGAAACTACTATTGTTGGAGTACGAAAACAATTGGACTTACATATTCGATATTGGAGTGAATCCAAGCAGTGTGTTGTTACACGTTATTGGAAAAGTATTATGCTTGGGCATGCAACAGCAGACATCATTAGTCGCCATATACTCGATTCATTAAAGTCCGATGGAATCGATTTGTGTAAACTTCTTCAATTGGGTGAGTAAATCTTTTTCTTATTTACATAGATTTCCTTCTGTCCTTATAGGTCGTGATAATCCCAATGTTAATAAAGCGGTTGAAACTATGATTGACAAAGAATTACGATCTGAACGAGAGCAAAAGTAAGTGTTTCAATGCAGAAGCAGGAGAAAAATTATTTCCATGTTTTATATTTATTAGAACTGGATGTGCACCATCTAATGGATTGGTTTCTATCGGACCTTGTCCACTTCATGTCATTCACAATGCGTTCAAACATAGTTTTACACGAAATGAGTGGCAAGTTGAAGATATTCTATATGAATTTTGGTTTTTCTTTTCTAGATCATCGGCCCGTCGTGAAGATTATTTAAGTGTAGCTGAATCTATTGGTGATAGCATTGGTCGATTCATGAAACGCTTTGTTATTACACGGTGGATAGAAGTCGGTCCAGTTATCGAACGAGTTATTGATCAATGGTCAATTCTTAAAGAATACTTTCTTGTTTATTTACCAAAAATTGATAAAAATATTATTAATACTGATAGATGGCAAAGAATTAAGAATCATCTCGACCAACAGCAAACATTTGTTCGTTTTCAATTCTTTCTTTATCTGTATCGACATATATTCTCGAAAACTTTAACATGGCTTCAGCAACACGAACCGTTAGTCCATATGTTATTCGAAGAATGCAGTGATTTATTTCGTAATGTATTGATTAGTTTCATTAAAGATGATTTAATAATAAATAAAACTGTAAAACAATTATTTTCGATTACACTTGATTCTCAAGCCAATCAAAAACCAGATTCAAAACTCGAAACTGGTGAAACTACACGAAACGAACTTAAAGAAATGTCAACTAATGACAAAGTCACGTTTTTCAAAGATGCTCGTCTCATTTATTTAACCATAGCTGTAAGTATTCATCAATAACTTAATGAGATTGAAATTGATAGAACATTTTGAACGAAATATCTCGGTAAAAAGAAAAAGAATTTATTGCATTTTCTGTAATCGAACACTTTCACTAACAATGGAGGTGTTTGTACTGTAGCTTAAAACGATGACACATATTCGGGTCAAATGAAAGCTCTCACCGCCAAACTAACAAGGTTAAAATATTAGCGGCTGTTGGCTTGCCTAGAGGGAGATATTTAAATTTAGGTATAAAAATGAATCAGGAAAGATTTTCTCCACTATTATCAGGACAAAACATAATGTTGTTCGAGGCGATCATGGGGTTTGTAGGGACTCTCTTTCATATGGCCCGAACAATATCATGTTTTGTCCTTATAATAGTAGAGTGAATTTCTCCTGTAGCTCATGGAAACAGCTTTTTCTATCAACCAATAGAAAAATCCACTCCGCTATTATAAGGACAAAACATAGTGTTGTTCGAGCCGATTATAGGGTTTGTAGGGTCCCTCATTCATATGGCTCGAACAACACTGTGTTTTGTCCTGATAATAGTGGAGTGAATTTTTCTATTGGTTGATAGAAAAAGCTGTTTCCATGAGCTACAGGAGAAATTCACTCTGCTATTATAAGGACAAAACATGATGTTGTTCGGGCCATATGAAAGAGAATCCCTATAAACCCCATGATCGCCTCGAACAACATTATGTTTTGTCCTTATAATAGTGGAGAAAATCTTTCCTGATTCATTTTTATACCTAAATTTAAAATTTAAATATCTCCCTCTAGGCAAGCCAACAGCCGCTAATATTTTAACCTTGTTAGTTTGGCGGTGAGAGCTTTCATTTGACCCGAATATGTGCCATCGTTTTAAGTTACAGTACAAACACCTCCATTGTAAGTGATGCACCAGAAAATAGAGTCGAAAGTTTTTCAACACTCCTTCATTAGTAGAAATATGCTAATGTTAATAGATAAAAAAAACATAAAACATGTGTGTACCTGTGTTTTAATTACTTCTAATTGTTGAATTCGTAATTCTGCATCTTTAATTGTTCTATGTAATTGATTATTTGTTTGAAACAATATTTCATGTTGTGTATAAATCAATTGATATTTTTGTTCTAAATCATATTTTGATCCTTTAAACAAAATCAAAATAGAATTTTCTTTTCTTTAGAAAGAATTGTTTTTTTTTCTTACGTTCACTCAATTCAAGTTTATGTTTAAGTTTTCGTACATCATTTTCATATTTTTCTCTATATTCTTCACAAAGATTTTCAAGCTGAGAAACTTTTCGATCTTTTGCATTGCATAATATACGTAATTTATTTAATTGATTTTGGGTTTCATTTAAATTTGTTGAAGATTTTTTATGTAAATATTGAACTTGCATTGGATCAATAATAGATAAATGATTATTATGTTCACCATTTTGCGAACATGTATAATCATTATCATTAATCTCAGACTAAAGATGATCGAAAAAAAAATATGTAGATGAATAATGAAGAATATATACACATACTTTATGAACATCTGATGAAGGGGTGAAGATTGCTGACGTTGAAAATAGTGTTTGTTGATGTGAATGATTACTGTCAAGTAATCTTAATTAAAAACAATCTTCTATTAGAAAGCACACATTGCAAGTCTAACTATGCAACGATTTATGTGTATAATGGATGTCCCTGAATAAATTGTATGAATGAGATACGGTCGGAAATTAGAGGCAGGAATCTAGTGACCGGATATAGCCGACAACCAGACACGACTGTAGATTTCTGCTTTAAGGTTCCTGCCACTTTCCGATCGAAGATTTACAGATCTGGACTGTGGAATCATTGGCCTCGAAAAACTTCAACAGATAACGAGATTACATGAGCATTCAAAAAAACTTAGGAACTACATGAAATTTCTAGGAATGAATAATTTCACTTGACGTAAAATTAAGTTTTTCTACTTGAAAATTCATTCTGTGATATTAACTGTTAACAAAGAATTTAACACTTAATTCACTTGAAATTGAGTGATCAAGTGGTAGATGGCAGGTGAATACCATTTAGTTTCGATATTTCTTTTTTTATAAAGCTTCATCAAAGGTTTTCGGGATCGAAAAATCCGAATTTGTAATCGGATTCTTGTAACTGTATATTTAGTTTTATGGTGTGGCAAAGACTATTTTAGGATACTTCAACGCGAAATTCAGTATACGATTCTGAGAAGGTGATTACAATTTCAAATCCCTCGACCTCGAAAACTCTTGATCAAACTTTATAAAAAAAATTATAATTTTTCATCAATAATTATTACCTGACAAAAGAATTAAACCTAAGAATTTATCGTTACCTGTTACTTAAAAGCGTAAAAATATCTTCTATCCCCTATTCCAATGATCAGAATCATTTTAGAAGCAATACAATCACAGAAGCAGCTTTTTCTCCTTGGATGTATATCGAGAGCACTAGGTATTGTATATATCCTGCATTTTTTTGGTATGCCTGCTATTAGAAACACTATTCAGAAGACTCCATATGACTTCATAACCGATTCTCTCTCGTCGTGCCGATACCGACTTTAAAAGATTCAAGCCTACTCAGTTATTTAACTGTGATTTCCTATTCTCTCATGACGCTTATTGATTTTTGTGAATTCAATGCCAAAAGTAAATTGCTTAATATCAATAGATAGAGAATTTTGTACTTTATGCTTTTGCGACGTTTTCAAGATTCCTAAGATTGGTGTTTACAAGAAAAAGACTGGGAACTACAAACTGTCGGTATTTTTTTGGTGCATTTTTGAAAAATCATGTTTTCAAAAGTCAGACGTACTCTGTGAAGGATTTATCGGATGTAGAACTTAATTTTGAACAAAACTTTGTAGACATGAAATTGAATTGTGAAAATATTTGGGTTGTATTCAATTAGAAATTAACAATGGAGTAAGTCTGCCACAATAAGAACGTTTTTCGATGCTTTTGCTTTTTTTTTTGACTTCGACACTATTTCTCCGAAATATCTCTTATAAACTTCTGAAATACGCATATCAAGAGATACAGATTTTTAAGGAGAATTTTGTGAGATAGTTAAAAATTCACCAAAACCTTTCTTTAGAAAATTTCCATTAGATTTTTATTTTTCAGACTACAGCATTGGAACTATTCTCATTTGAAAAAAAAATAACCCTTGCGACAGTTTTTTTAAATTTTTATTTAAATCTTAAAACTCTAAAAATCTTGTACAATATTTTTTTTTTAGAAAACCCATGATTTCTTGGATATTTAGATTCAAAGACAAAACTGTTTGTCCTCATCCACAAAAGAATGTATCTATCTATCGAATAAAAATATACACAATTGAATAATGTCCATTTCAAAATATAATGTGCTCCACTACTTTTTGAATGATTTTCGAGTTTTAATTTAGTCGTTTAATAGAACTAATCGATAGAAAATACTCTTCTCTTTCGATCTATACAACAAAAATATTCCTAACTTGTTTTATTCGAGAGTTATAAAACTTTTCTTAAGCCTTTCGACTTCAGCAAATTGACCTGTAATCACTCGGAAAAGTGACTAAGCAGAGATAGTTCACCCTGCAGAATTCAATGATGATATTGATGTGTAGGTTCGAAATCATCTAACTTTGGTACCTTGATATTTCCGAAATGTCAACTCTTTCATTACATAGAGGCTGATTAGAAAATTTCTGAAATATTGAAATAACCGTATCAGATCATTTCGAGCCTAAAAACAAATATCAACATTCGACTCAACATGGGCAATTACCACTGCGTAGCTGCTTTTCCGGATGATAACGCGTTAACTGACTGAAATCGAAGGTTTATTACTATCGATTAGTCGTATTAGAAGTTTAAATCAAAAGGAAAAAAGCGTCCGAATATTGTTTTTTAAAATTTTCACCAAGAACTCACCTGATTGGTCAATTGCTAATCAATCAAATTTCGATATATTTCAATGAGCTGAGCTCGACTCATCTCTCTTGAATGACGAAAGTTGCATATTTCTATCATGTTCGTATTAATAGTTATTTAACAAATAGTAGAGTATATTATATTTTGAAATGGATAGTAGACACTTTAGAGATCATGTTTACAGTAAAACCTCTCAATACCAACACCTTCTAATACTGTGTAATCTTGGATCCATCCGAGAAAATTTTGCTGGCAATGGATCTCCATAATGTGACCAACCTGTATGTTCTATTAATGACATGTGAAACAAGAACAAAAATGATGTTATGCACATTACGTTATGATCAACAATCATAGAACATATCTCAGGAAATAGATTAACCGTACGTATTTAGCAGGAAAAAAAACATTATTAGAAAGCAGCAATAGTGTCTGGTGAAAGGTATGGGAGACAAGAAGACCCATACCCACACCCTGTTCAAAGCACACTTCACAGTTATTTTATAAATAATTAGTTTTGTGCTGTGAAAACTTGTTATTACACAAAATAAGTGATTATTTGAGCTTATACATCGTTGGAAAAAAGAGATCACTTTATACAGTCGAAAAGTGATTGCAAATGAATACTTACCATTTGAAAACAATTGAAAGTCTCCCAACAATGAACATCTCTATAATCTGAACACTTTTGGCTAGCACCGATCACATTAGAGAGGTTTTAGTGTGTGGTTATCTCAAAAAAGTGTCTTTTATTTTAACAAAATTGATATTTTAGAGAGGGTAGCTTAAGAAAAACTAATGAATACAAAAATCTACGTTGCAATTTCCTTTCTAAACGAAGTAATTCAAGGACACGATACAATACTAACACATTTGATCAGCATTAGGAAAAGATTTAATGTACTTGAAACTCTCTGTAAATAAAGTATATATGATTATTTATAATTTGTATTAGATTCTATAGTGTTATACTTAGTTATTACTAAACTATCTATCAACTCTTTATAATAAAAATTTTCGTAATCATTTATTCAAAATAACCTAAAGTTTTTAAATATAAAATGTAAATGAAATTCACGACGTTATATTACCAAATGTTTTTTTTACACAGAATCAAAGGCGAGATTGTTCTCTACAAATCGATATAACAATTGACAATTTCAGAACAAACATTGAGGATTTAGCCGAGCTTACTATACAAATCTTTTTTTCCATGGAAATAGAGAAAAGTAACACGGTGTACCTTACCAAAATACTCATTGTTAATTAATGAGTGCAATCATTACCATACCATTGTAAATTTAGGAAACCTGAAAAAGTCAGTCAATAGCTCTTAAAATAAAAGTTCTAGAAAAAATTTTGAAGTAATATTCGGAAAGAACATTAAAGTTCTGACACTAATCCAATATTTTCAAAGTGTTGTGGACTCTTTTGAGAGATTGAAAAATGAGCAAATATTTTGTCAAAGTATTTTTTTTTTTGATAACTCGTCAATCAAGTTGGTTGTTATTAGGCTTAAATAAAGAGAAGTTTTTTTTGTAAAATTTTTAAAATTCAATCGTACATTAGAATTCATTGATTTTTTTTTGTACGCTCTAATCTTTAAAAGATTCTATTGTACGAAAAGATCAAAATAGTACAAATCATTATTATTATCGTAATCAACTAAATAAAAGTTGAATCAATACTTGAATAGGTTTCTGTTTTCTTTTTTTTCTAGTAAGTAAACAAAAATTAATTTGACATTTTCATAAAATAACAATCGGATATTGTTTTGTCTTATTTAATAAAAGTGCATTTATTGGATTTCATAAATCTAAATATTTTTCAACAATTCAATTTTGCTTAAATTAATAAAACTCATCAACTATTATTCGATTTGAAGAATTTCTTTTTCTGTAAAATAAAAATCTTACTCATTGTTTTCTGGAACATAATGTTCATCAGTATAATGATGATTATTATTCATAGTTAACATATTTTTTTCGTCTGAAGTATGATGACTTGAATCAGATGTATTGCATGATTCGTCATCATCATCATCATCATCATCGTCATCATCATCTTCACCATCTGATGGTTCCTCCTGACCTTCAAAAGCTGCCATGATCAACTCAACAATCTAATAGGAATGAAAAGAAGTATTGTTTAAAAGAGCAAAGTGAAATAAAAGAATCATTTCTATTTTTTGTTTTTACTTCATTTTGATTTGTTTGTTCATGAACAATATCTTCATGATCTTCATCATTAAAATCATTTTCAATAAGATCAATAGTATCAGGTAGAATCATACTAACAGCTGAATTATATTCCATACGTAGTTTTTTTTTTTATGAATTAATTTCGAATATGCATCCAAAAGTATTTACAATAAAAGAAAAATAATGCCTTCACTTTAAAATGAGAAAGACAACTTTTGAAAAAATCGAACGACTTGTTTTCTTTTTCATTTAGTTACAAAAATAACAGAAAAAGAATGAGATCTGCATTTTCATGTTAATAATTTTTCTTTTTCAACATTAAAATCATAATTTTACCATTGAACTTTCTTTTCTGACCTTGTTACTATAGGTACGAATAAAATGATGAATTTTTATTAGCGACCTCTGAAATATCCTTTTTTGTTGTTGTTGTCATGGAATGATTTTTGACATGATTATATTTTCCAAAAGGATTCAGTTAATCAATCAGAGTAATAATGTCAGTAAATAAAGGAGATAAATCTTCATCAAAATATAATCAAGAAGTTGCAAATAATAATGAAAATGAAAATAATCAAACTCGACCAACAACAGCTATGTAAAATAAAATATTTTTAATTAAAAAAAGAGAATAAATAAATATTTTCAAATTTATAAAAATTGTTTAGTGCTGATTCTAAGAGTAAATGGTTACCAGCACATACTGATTTTGTTGCAGGAATAAATACAGTTGAAACATGTATGGAACTTGTAGACTTATTTGCGGAAGGTTCAGTTAATTTAGTTATTGCGGATTTTGGAAATATTCTTTTAATGCCAAAATTACAAGCAAAATTAAAAGTTTTTAAAGGTAAAGTTTGTTGGCTTTGATTATTAGTTAATAATTTTATTTCGAAATAAATCTATAGGATTTTCATTACTTAAAGAAAATAATCTATCAGATTTACCATGCGCTGTTGTTGCTTGCTATATGGATAATCTTCAACCGAGAATTCCTGGTACAATTGTTTAATCGATTTTTTTATTTATTAATATTTGATATTTAATGTATTTTTAGCATTGGCTGTTGCATCTGGTTCAGCAGTTTTTCTTTTTAAAGCACTTCGTCCTTATTATAAATTTGTATTACCTCAATTAGATATAGCTCAAGTAGAAAAAGATGTTTGGCTTAAAGCTCGAGAGGTTTGTTATTTCAAATCAGAATGATTTTTATAAATTACTTTTTTTAAAATAGAAACCAAAAGATAAAATTGATAAGAAAAATATTTTAATCTATTAAATTTTTTTAGGGTAATGTTGATATTCAAGCAATGCATGATGTTCTTAATGATCTTCATCGTGCTGGCACTACGACTTTAACACATAGATCACTCATGTAAAACTAATCTACGTCGTGACAGTCTTAATATAAAATATTCGCTCATTTTTCAGTCACTAAAAGACAATTGGTTAGAATCAGAATTTTTCACTATTTTCGAATATTTGTTTAGGTTTTCTTTCTGCAGTAAAATTAATCAATTATTAGAAAATTTTGTAAAAATTAGTTTATGTCTTGGAACAGCAACATTATTACAAAAAATCGAAGTCGGGATTAAAATGAGATATTATAATTTCTTATCACTCAAAATCTATGTATTTCTGCTAAAGAATTAGTCTACGAGGAGATCGACATTGGTGAAAAACTGTTGTTTGAAAAATTGGTTTTAAAAAATTGCCAGGCAAAAGAAATTGTACGCTTTGCAGAGTACATTTTCCTCTACAAAGCTTACGAGAACACTTCTTTAGATGCTTCCTTTTGATTTCAATCATTCTTTTGCTGCATAGTGTTCTAAAAAAGATCTTAAAAGGATTTGATTTTGAATAAGCTATCGAGTATTTTTCTAAAGACGATTGGTTTTCGGATAATTCGTATTTTCGAATTTCATGCATATAGAGAATTTATAAGCTTCATATCTCGCAGAGAATTTGTTCAAAACTTCTGAGATTTTTTATGAAAGCTGATCTAGTTGATTTTTTACATGCGCACAGTTTCAGACTAAAATTTGAAAATAGGAGTTTTCCGAAAAGCTGAAACCTCTAGAAAAAAATTTCGATAGCTTACGAGAGAACTACCTGAATTGATACTCGCCGTTTGAACTGATATTATGTTTACAAAGAGAGCTCGGTAAGAATAGTAAAATTGAGTCGAGTTACGACCGTCTTACTGAATTTTTGATCTAGCTGTAAATGTTCACCAAAAATCAAATAACAGAATTTCGATGGAAAATTTTTGCCCATAAATATGCGTAATAGCCCTTAGAATATCCTGAAAATTGTAGCCGAAAAGAATATGCCTTTGTAGAGATATTCAATTTTCAAATAAACTCGTTTTTTGTGGCAAACAACCATTTTTTGGAAATTCAATATCTCAATGAAGAAAGCTTCTTTTCGGCTAAAACTTTCAGAATATTCTCAGAATTATCAGACCTATCTATGAACGAAATTTCATTATTTGATTTTTCGATAAATACCAACCGTGAATCGAAAATTCAGTGGAACTGTAATAACTCAGTTCCAGGCGCCTATGGAGACGAACTCCTGTAAGGTTTTTATTAGAACACTATGAAGCAAAAGATCATTGAAATTGGTAGGAAGCAGCTGAAGAGATTTCCTTGTACGTTATTAAAAGCTGTTTCACTATTCGAAATTGATACGTTTTAATCGATATACAAGATTAACCGAAGCAGTATTCCGTACATACACTATTTCACAAAAATCTGGGGATATTTGTCCAAAGTCTGATTCTAATTAACTGCATCCAGCTATTATCAACTGTTTTTGAGTGAATATTTTGTGCCAAAATTTTTGCATCATAGGTTAATTTTGTTTTTGAATAAATTCAAGGTTTTTACAAATATCAAACAATAATGAAGCACATCAATTTGTTGAACATTATAAAAATGTTGAATTAAAACAACAGGTAGATAAAGAAAAAATATTTTTATCACTAAAAAAAATAATATTTTTTCTTTTAAAGAGTTGTATAACGTGTATGAAAAAATTAAATAAAAATTCCGCTGATGAAGATGCACTTAATTGTCTTGTTATTGGTACTGAGGATCAACATATTTATATAATTGAATCTGAAGCCTTTACAATACTTGCTACAGTAAGATACAAAAAAAATACACTCAAATATCATTCAAAAAAAATTTTTGTTTTTGCCCTATAATTATAGATGAATTGTCCTGCAACCCCATCATTTCTTGATGTATCCGGTGTTTATGATGTTGAATTTCGAATATTAGCTGCTTGTCGTAATGGATATATATATTTATTTCGAAGGTAAAAATTATTAAAATTAAATCGAACTAAAAGAAAAAGAATATATTTTAGAGGTAGTCCACAACCACGACATGCAATTTATTTGAATTCGATTGTTGTTGGTCTAGAACGCTTTGGTAAAAATATAATTGTCGGCTGTATGGATTCATCATTACATTGTTATACAACAAAAGTATGAAAATAAAATTTTATAAAGTTCAAAATTGAAAAAAATGAAATTTATTTTTGTTTTGAAAAGGGTAAACGTTATTGGAAACATGTATTACCAGCTCCAATAACTGCAATGTGTCAAATTGATTATCGTCCAAAAGGTTTTCAAGCTGTAGCTGTTGCATTAGCAAATAATGAAATACATTTATATAAAGATAAATTTCTTGTGGATGTTATTCAAATTGAAGAAAATGTTTATGCTATGAAATTTGGACGATTAGGACGAGAAGATGCAACATTAGTGATGGTTACTAAAAGTAAAAAATTTAGATTTTAAGAAAATTTTTTCATTATGTTTTGATTAAACGAATAAGAATAGTGATTATCGCTTTTGTTTTTTGGTTCTAGTCTGATAACAGTGAGACTGAAATTAGTGAAAGACTTTTTTACGTATCCAAAAATGATATGATTGTTAGAAACAAGCATAAATTGATCGTTTTAATTTGTCGTCGTCTTTGCATCCAATGAACCAACAAATAATATCTCAAAATTTTCTCAAACATATTTTTTTTTGTATAAAGATATACAAAATGAAACTTTGAGTTTTATATGGAAAAACGTTGAAGTGTAGGTTTTAAGGAAATATTTCATGGAACTTGTCTATGAAGTCGTATTGTTAAATGAACTTTTGCTCTGAACGTGAAATTATTCTTTCTGTATTTAAATTTAGATGGTGGACTTGTAATAAAAATTCTAAAACGTACAGCGATCTTTGAAGAAAATGATATTCTTCATGGTCCACCAAAAGAACAACAAGTTAAAATAGATGTACCAAAACGAACAAAACTCTATGTTGATCAAACATTACGTGAAAAAGAACAAGCAGAAAGTAAAATTAAATAATTTTAAATCGAAAAAACACAAAACACAATAAATAATTTCTTTTTTAAGATATGTATCGAATTTTTCAACAAGATTTAATTCGTTTAAAACTATTAACTGGTAAAGAATTTCTTAAATCAGTTGAAGCTGGCTTAAATCCAGTTACTAAAACAAAAACTGAATCTATACGAATAAATGCTGAAGTACATGGTCTTGGCCCACGTTTTAAATTAACTGTTAAACTTCAAAATACATCATCAGCATCATCATTACCAATAATTGATCTATTTGTATCATTTACATATGATGAGAATATTTATAATCTTAATCCAAACTATATCGAGGTTAGATAGAGTTCTCTTGAGAAAGAAATAATGAGTACTTGAAAAAAATAAATAAATATCGAAATTACTTTTTTCTTCTTTTTGTCTAGATTCCAATTCTTATCAATGGAATTGAATATGGGTTTTGTTCATTTGTTACTTGCATTACGGACAAAGCTATATCGGATATAATTAAAGTAATGAATGATTTCCTGTATTATATTGAATTATAATTTTTATTATTTAATAGGTATTTGTTTGTCGACGTGATTCAACAGCACCATTAATATCTGCTGTTATCAATATGCCAGTTGCCGAACCAAATATTTCAATATAATTTTTTTTCTCTTCTTTTTATTTTGATTTAATAAAATAAAAGAAATAAATGAGATTGTTAGTAAACGACCTTGCAATTGACTAGGCAGGAAATTGTTTTTGTAAGGAAATCACAATTGGATTTTCGATGAGGTCATCATCATTTCCGCTCTTTTTTTTTTTGTGTGTTCATCGCTAACGCCATCATCAATGCTCAAAAAATAATGAACACAACACAAAGTATAGAAAAAAAAAACTTTTTTGCATTTCTATCAGCTTGTTGTAAGCAAGTAGAGATAATAGAAATGTTTTATGAAGACATTCTTGCATTCATTCAATAGAATTGTTATTCTTACAGATTATAATGTAATCAAAAAAAAAAGATTTTATACTTCTGTATAAGTGTGTGTCAATGTTCGGAACCTCGATCTGTTGAACATATAAGCACATATATAAATAATGTCTGAGTATTTGTGTGCATTCGGTTTCCGATGATACATCTAAAAGAACATTCGTAGCTTCAGGCGATTTTCTTTGTTGACAACGATCTTTGATTACAGACATTTTCATCTATTAATCAATACCTGATTGAAAAGAAAGGAAGCATATTCTAACTAAGTTCATATTAAATATACAAATTTGTACTTTTGTAATTCTCTTGGCTCTTTTGCTGCAATGATTTTCTCTTTCTCTCTCTCTCTCTCTCCCTCTCTATGTCTGTCCTTATCATCGTTCTTGTCTTTTGTTATGATGAAGAGTGACGAAGAGAACGAAGGCAAAAAGGAAACAAATAGATGGTAAAGTCGTCACACATAGACGACCGTCGAAATGATCCACAATCAGAAGTGACACACTTAAAAAATACATTTTTTCTTCTATCCATTAGAGGGATCGTCTCCCTTACTCGCTCTCTTTTCCTTTCTTTTGTCGTTATTACTATTATGATTACATTGTTCGATTATTTGTCTAAGTTCAGTTCGAACGATATTTGACGTCTAGAGTTTATTGTTTTACTACTACTACTACTAATAATAATGACTGAAGTTGTTCATCGTATAACGGAACTTACACATTTACGTCTTTCATGGTTCGGTTGTTCTGATGATGATGCATCGAATCGTCTTAATCATCGTCATACAGTTTTCATGTTACTTATATTTTCAGCTATTCTTACTTCACGTTTATTTATATCTGATTTAATTATTTGTTGGACACCTGGCGAATTTACAGGTAAATATTATCATATTTTATTCATAACTTAATTAAATAAAATAACACTATCAAATGAAATCTACTATTGTATTCATTGATTGACAGATTAATTAAATTAAAGTGATAAAAACTCATAATGTTGTTCTTTCTATTGATCATGTGCATGTCTAAATATATAAGCACAAGAATTACTCTATTCATAAAAAAGCAAAGTATGACGATCTTGACACACAGATGATTTATGAATATTATCCTCATCAGAATGATGAATAAATGAATGATAGAAGTACGAGTTGACATGACATTTAATGGCATATCTATCTATTTGTATAATTGATAAACCGCATAATAAAGAGAAAAAGAAAAAGAAAAAGAAAGTATTTTGAAGCTTTTTTTTTTTTATTCCTTTCCAGGTAATTTTGTATCGTATACTCGACAGTATTGTTATGTAACAAATACTTATTATATATCAATGAATGAAACTATTCCAACATTAAGTAATGCTCATTTGCGACGTCGACGTTCAATTTATTATTATCAATGGTTACCTATATTACTTGCATTTCAATCATTATTATTTCTTATTCCACGTTTAATTTGGAGTAGTTTTAGTTCTCGATGTGGAATTAGTGTTCAAAATTGTTTATCACCAAAATTTGATTATCGTACAAATCGTTATACAGTTCATCATATAACAACAATGCTTAATTTATTAGCACGTGCTAAACAACATGATTTTAATCGTATGACATCAAATGATACAAAAAGTTCATCAAATTCAAATAGTTTATCATTAAATCGATTAGGTGTATTTCAATTTTTAAATATACTTTGTATTCCATTTATATTTCATAATGCAAATTATTTTCGTGGTTATTATTTAGTTCATTTATTTCTTGTTGTTAAAATACTTTTTCTTATTAATTCATCATTACAATTATATTTTTTAAATGCATTATTAACAAAGAATTCTATATTTTATGGTCTTGAAGTAGTTGAAAATTTTCTTCGTGGTGAATATGTTATTGGTACAAAAATTTTTCCTTTAAGTGTTTATTGTGATTTTAATATTGTTAAAATTGGTCAACCTACACTTTATACAGTAAAAATAAAATAGTTTTTTTTTCTTCTTCTGAAATACAAAAACTTTTGTCGTTCTTTTTTGTTTAGGTTCAATGTTTACTACCAATGAATGTATTTAATGAAAAAATTTTTACTATTATTTGGTTTTGGTTAGTTTTTTTAACAATAGCAAATTTTAAAAGTGTTATATTTGCAATAATTCGTAGTAGTTTTCGTCATTTTAATTATGCTTATATAGCAAATTATTTAAATTTATATTCAAAAAAAGAACGTTTTAAACGACAATTACTTGTTAAACGTTTTATATTTGATTATTTATCAGGTGATGGTGTTTTAATATTAAGATTAATATCAGAAAATATAAGTGATTTATTAACAAGTGAAGTTGTTAATGACCTTTGGAATGAATATAAAAAGCTTTCAAATTTATCAAGTCGAAATCGTGAAAAATATCTTTCAAGTCAACAAATAAAAACTCTTCAAGTAACAACAAAAAGTCAAGCTCGTGCAGAAGTAACAACAACAACAACACGAGATATTCATGATCATTATACGTTTAGATAGAAAGAATATTCTAACAAAATAAATCTCAAAATCGAATAAACGAAATGCTTGTCACTATGAAGAGAATACAATGATGATGTTAATTGAATAGGATGGAAGGAATAAGTTATTGATGCGTGCCTCAATCAACACTTTGTTCACATCACAAGAGACACTCTATCATGATAATAATCATTATCTTCGTGTGAAAGATGAAAAGAGACCACGACTAAGTAACAAGCCATTAAGAACAAAAAAGAAAAAGACATTACATTGATTAACCCCATGTTTTACGACAAGTATTTGATTGAAAAATTTGCCGGAAGCATGTTTTATCTTAGTATATATATGTATATATATCTTTTCTTTTTGATAATGAATCATAATTTTTCAATATTCTTACAATAATAAAAAAAGTTAGAAATATATTCATTGTATATTGATTTTTGATAATATGATTAAGATAGAAAGAAAATATTTATTTAAACAAAAATAAGAAAACAATCAACAGAGAAAGAAACTCTTTATAATCATTACTTTCGAAGAAATTAATATCTGATATCTAAATATCAAAGCTAACTTCACCCAGAATCAAATGTCATGGCCTTCTATATTATAGAAAAAAAGCACATCGCTCTTCGAAAGGTGACCACCTATTGTGAGCTAGCTTTTTGCTAACATTTATCCAGAAAGTCAAGAGTTTTTGAAAAACTTTTCTCATATTCAATTCTAACGAGAAAACGTTTGTTTGTGTCAAATTGATTTTAAGTCAGGGCTATATGTATCATGTAAGTTCTAATAAGAAGAGTTCGGACTAATAGCTTACAACTGTTGACATGCCGTGATCCCGTTAGGAACACTGTTTTGAATTCCTATTTGAAACTTTGCATAGAAAGAGACCTTCATCAGAATAGATTATTGTGAAAGTTTCAGATTGTTGTTATTGTCTCTATTCTTAAATAAGAATATCGAAGCAATCAAAATATCTGAAACTCTTACAATAAACTATTCTCATTAAAACATGTAAAGTTTTATGTCGAAATTTTGAAATTCAGTTTTTTTTTCGAACTCCTGAAGAAGATCACGGTACTCTGATTAAAAAAACATACAATATGCCGATATTAATAAACTAGTAGCCCGAAACCTTTGCATTAGAGCCTTACATGATACACATAGTTCCAACTAAAAGATACTAAAGTCTCTCAAAAACCACTGAATTCTTGAAAAAAAGATTTTGAAAAGCCCATGATCTTCTATTACACCTTGTGAACATTTTCTCATAGGTAATCTTCTATTCTGAAGGAGTTCAAACTGGTGTCAAAAGTTTGAATTCATTTTTAAATATACAATTCGCTGAACTAAAATTGACTAAATTAATCTTATTTGTTAGAATAAATGATTTGCAAAGAAATAAGAGTTGATTTAGTATAATCAATAATCGGGTGACACAAACACTCACTATTCAAGCATTTTTCTCATAACAAAAATTTCGAATGCATCATCAATATTGTTCGAATTTGGTTTTGAATATGAACATGAAAAATCATCTTAGATCTTCGTATGCTGATTTTACAGACTACCAAACTTTTATCCAAAACTTTTCTTGAATTCATCGACATTATAGAGCATATCGAATAGGCATTTTTTTCTGTTTCAAATAGTTCTTTTTGCAGAAAATACAGTCATTTTAATTCATACTGGAGCTATATATCAACATTTCAATGTGAAAATTTTTCCAGATGATGTTATTTTACTTAAAACTCGTTTTTGAAAAATAGAAAAAAAATATTGAATTATAGGCAATTTCATATGCTCTATCATTTGAATAGGTTCAAAACGATTTAAGAGTCTTTAAAATCAGCCTTGAAAGACCTAAGAGAATTTCCTATAGTTACATATTTCTTCTTAAATCGATAAAAAAAAATTTTCTTCTTTTGAAAAAATTAACATTATGTTCATAGTGTTGATTGTTTCTCTTTTTAATGAAACTAAATGATTTCATTATGAATTGGTCCCACATAAATGAAAAACTTCATAAATCACTTTTAATCAATGAAAAATTCCCGCTATTATGTTTATATTTTTAGCTTATTCTCTCACAATCAGATATTTCACACTTAAACAACTTAGTTTATCAAACTCTAAAAAACACATAACTTTAGTTTTATTCTCATTTAAATATCTAAATAATGACAACAGCTATCTTTCTTTTAACATTATCATTTGCTTATATTCTTCTTGGTACATGTGCACAATTTACTATAGCCATATTTACATCTGATCTATTATTAAATTTACCTTGGCAACATTTTCCATTTTTTATTATTATACAAGCTATTTTTATTTGTCTTTTTTTTATTAGGTATGTTTTAACTTTAAACAATTTTGTTAGATTAAAAAGAAATATATTCTGTATAATTAGTGGTTTTCGTCGAGATTCATTTGTATTTCTTTATCCATTTCTTTTAACATTATTTTTACATTTATGTTCAAATCTTTGGTATATATTAAATATAATTCATTTACGAAAATATCAATCAATTGAAATACAACAATTTTTTTACTATTGTTCAAATGAAATATTAAATATGAATATTGATACAAAACAATGTACATGTATAAGAGATAATTATCATGATAAATATCTTGTTAATATGTCATGTATAAAAGTTAAATTATTAATTGAACTTATTCAATTAATGCCATTTATAAGGTAAGAAATTTATTTCTTTTATTTTTTAAATAAAATATTTTTTTTTTTTAAATTTAGTATTCTACTTGTTTTGGCTGATTTTTATACATCTATATTAGTAGCATTTGTTTATGTCTACGAAAAACGATCATTGATAGACTATTTACCAACACCAGATGAATATGATTTACCCTAGATGAATAAAAAAAAAAAGAAGAGAAACAAGAGAGAGATTATAAAAAACAACAACAAGATAATTTTCTTTTTTATGAGTTTTAATTAAAAAGAGAAAAAAGAAAGAAAAAGATAATCTGTATCGCCTACGAAATGAGCTTATGAATAACAATATGTATATTAATCCGTAGAGACATATTTGATTGTATTCTCATCATTTCTTCTTCATATATCAAGATGATTGTGATGATGCATTGGTATTTTATCTTTACTGTTATTCCACTAGTTCTATGTAACCGATCTTCATTTACGACTACAACTGATCAAATTATTTATACATTAACACGAACTCTGAAATTTTTTTCATTGCATACAAATCAAGTTAATCTGGATGCAGGCATTGGTACACGAATTGTTGCTGATCAATTACGACCATATATATTATGTAAAAAAGGAAAATCAGTAAAACAACTTGTCGATTTAAGTGAATATGTTACTTGGCAAATAGTTCAATCTGTTCGTAATCGACAACCGAATTATTATGCACAATTATCATTTCTTCTTATGCCGGGTACTTTTTCATATATTGAGCCATTTCAATATCACAGAAATAAAGATCAAATCAATGCTGAAACAAAATGTTCTTCATCAGTATTTATTGAAAAAATTTCAGATCAATGTCTTCATGCATTAGGATTTGCTAAATGCAATGAAACCAAATCATGTATAAAATTAATGAATGATCCATATGCATGTCGTTATTCACTTACTCATCAAATTCTCTATTCAATAATTGCTAAAAAATCTTCATGTTATGATCAATATAAATTATTACCATTTGACAAATATCAAATGATTTCAAGAATGTTCGATGAAAGTCAAGCTATTGCTAAAAAAGATTTCCTTGAATCCGATCGTGATTTATTTATGGAACAAATTGCATTGGGTGGTCTTGTTGGATGGAATGAATTTTTTCAAGATATTAATTGGTTCAATACAATAATCAGTTGGCAACATCCAATTGAAGGTTGTTATGGTAATGATACTGTTCATATAAATAAACGTGAAGAAATGCAAATGTTACATCAATGTCTTAGTCATCGAACAAGTGTAGCAATAGCAGCACTTTCACAAATTCTTCGATATCTGTTGTCTAGAGACATCTAAGATTGTAAAATAAAAGAAAAAGAAAAAGAAAAGAATACATGTATGATGTTGCTAAGTAACGTTGTTCTATCGTTCATTGTCGATGATGAGAAATAGAGAGTTTTTGAAGGATTAAAGAAAGAAAAGCTGAATGATGAACAAGTCTGACTCGGTAAGAAACAAATAAATAACACAAGGATAAAACAATATTTTTTACTTTGTTATCAATTCTTTTTTTTCCTACTTAGCATGATAGTGGTGTTGAATATCATAGTCATAGTGAACGATTGATTAAAGGTAATTCGGACTTACAAGCACGACGTGCACGTCGTCAAAATCGAGCAAATTCTGCAGCAACAAGTGCTGACGAAACAAGAATTGAAGGTTATTTCATAGTTCAATAAAGCAAAAAAAGAAACAAGCAAACATTCTATTATATTTAACGATTAATTCTTTTTTTAGTTCCTGAAACTCATTTACGAAGACCAGCATCTCGTCATAGACGAAAACCATCACCAAATGATTCTGCTGCACCTTCATTAAATAATTCAACAACAGTTACTGTTGAAAATGAAACAAAACCTATACGAAAAAAGAAAACATTTAAAATACGTGAAGGTGAAGAAATTGAAATGACTGTAAAAAAACGAAGTGATAGTCAAAAGAAAAAGAGACGAACAAAATCAAAAGAACCACATTCAGATACTGAAACAAGAATTGATCCAAATAGAGATAAAATTCTTGGAATTTTTATTCATCGAACTGATCGTTTAAGAACAGATCTTCGTCTTCGACATCCATTTGTACGTGTTCATTTAATTGATCTTAATACAAGATCTTATGTGCGAAAAATTGATCCGTATGTTAAATTTAGAATTTTTGCTTATCAAAATTTGATCTTTTCATTTTAAAATATTTATTTTTCATTCTTATTTTAAAAATTGAAAGATTATAAACATTATAATAATATTTGACTGAAGTGCTTATAGAATGAAAAAAATTCAATTCA